GTCCAAATGGTGGTGGAGGTAGCCAGTAAGGTCCCTAAAATATGTTGTCCTTGTTGTGGATTTAAAGAGGCGCTTCCTAAATTTCAGGATGGAGGGGTGAATCAGAGCACGGAGAGCCCGGGGACATGGAGGGAGCTCATTGTGGGAGCGGGTGGCGGGGCGGCTCTTGCCTGCGGGGGGGGTGAGGAGGTAGGGAACAGGTGACCTTTCACCGGAACCCTGAATCCTGAACGCCCGAGAGCGCGGCCGTCTTGTTAAAGCCCCTTCCCGGGGCCTGGCCTACAGGAGATGCCCTGCAGCTGACCTGCCCAGGGGCTCACGGCTGCTTGGTTGGGGCAGGATGTTGTTGGTGCGTAACAGACTCTGACTCTGTTCCTTTCTCTTCCCGCCCAACTCCAGGGCCTCCCTCCTGAAGGCGAGCCCTCGCAGCCTCTGCAGCCTGCGCAGTCCGCACAGCCGGCCCAGTCCACACAGCCCTCCCAGCTCAGCCAGCCAGGCCAGCCACCAAGCAGCAAGATGCCTCCAGTCTCCCAGGAGGCAAAGGGCACCCAGACAGGAGTAGAGCAGCCGCGCCTCCCAAATGTACCTGGAAACAGGCCGGCGGAGCCTCATGCCCAGGTCCACAGAGCGCAGGCGGAAACAAGCCAGACCTCCTATCCCTCCCCCGTGTCTGTCTCCATGAAGCCTGACCTCCCGGCCCCTCTTCCTGCTCAGGCTGCCCCAAAGCAGCCGTTGTTTGTCCCTACACCCTCAGGCCCCAGCCCCCCTCCAGGACTGGCTCTGCCGCATACTGAAACCCAGCCCGCCCCCAAACAAGATTCCTCTCCTCATTTGACTTCCCAGAGACCTGTGGATATGGTCCAGCTTCTGAAGGTAAGCCTGGGCAGGGCCTCCCCTACCACCCTTCGAGCTTTGTGCTATTGTCAGTGTCCCGAGAGCCCCACTTTGACTTAGATCAGCAAGCTGCTGCCTGGGGCCGTGGCCAGCACAGCTGTGTTCTCCAGCCGTGAGCTCACTTCTGTTTGTTTCCCCGTGAGCAGAAGTACCCCATCGTGTGGCAGGGCCTACTGGCCCTCAAGAACGACACAGCTGCTGTGCAGCTCCACTTCGTCTCTGGCAACAATGTCCTGGCCCATCGGTCCCTGCCGCTCTCTGAAGGAGGGCCCCCCCTGAGGATTGCCCAGAGGATGCGGCTGGAGGCCTCACAGCTGGAGGGGGTTGCCCGAAGGATGACGGTAAGACTCAGGGCCCAGGTGAGCAACTGCCCGGTCCACAGCAAGGGAAGGCACGGGTGGCCCCCCACTGCCTGTCTCCGTGGCTTGTCACGGGGTGCAATGATGGCTTTCTTGGAGGGGATGATGAAGGGCATGTTCTCTCTCCACTAGGGGTGTAAAGTGCCTCTAGATCCAGAGATGCTTTTTTTCATTCAGCAAATATATGGATGGCCCTCGGGGTCATCGTAGAGGTGGGGATTTAGGAGCCAAATCACCTGGGTTGGACAGGCCTCCTTTTGGGCTGTTTTGTGAGGTGGCCCCCCGATCACTGACAGCTTCCTCTTCCCCAGGTGGAGACAGACTACTGTCTGCTGCTGGCTCTGCCCTGTGGCCGTGACCAAGAGGACGTCGTGAGCCAGACCGAGTCCCTCAAGGCTGCCTTCATCACGTATCTGCAGGCCAAGCAGGCGGCAGGCATCATCAACGTTCCCAACCCTGGCTCCAATCAGGTCAGCCCAGTGTCCTGCCTCGGCGCACACACGTGGGGCTGGTCTCGGCTGGTCAGGCCGTCTGACTGATCTGGTGGCGTGGGCTGCCAGTGCCAAGCTAGAGTAGTCAGGACAGCTTCCCAGAGGAGCTGGACAAAGGGGCATTCTGGATAGAGGAAACCAGTGGAGTGCATGGGCCGGACTACTGCTGCCCATCCTGGAGACAGTCAGTGGACAGCTGAGGCAGCAGAGGTTTTTCTTTAGCTTAAGGATAGAGAAGTTGTTCTCAGGGGTTAGTCTCATGTTAGTTTTCTGATACCTAGTTTTCTTCTGGTAGACAGTCTTGGAGACCTTAGCTGGTTGGGAAATTGACTCAGCCTGGCTCTCTGTTGGGCCTTTGGGCCCCCAGTTGGAAATGTTTTAGGGAAGAGTGGTGGTAGTGGGGTGGGTGACGTGAAGACAGGAGGTCCCATTTTTCTCTCTCGTCCCCTTCTCCAGCCCGCCTACGTGCTGCAGATCTTCCCACCCTGCGAGTTCTCTGAGAGTCACCTGTCCCGTCTGGCCCCCGACCTCCTGGCCAGCATCTCCCACATTTCTCCCCACCTCATGATCGTCATTGCCTCTGTGTGAGCCACTGAATGGTCACCACTCGGCGTACCTTCCTGAGGCTCTGCAGCAAAAAATAAAACACAGGACAACCCAGCCAAGTGGAGGAAGAAGCTGCCGAGGGGGACAGACTCCACTGCCAGACGGACGGCCAGCCTCGCTCTCCTACCCGCCCGCCCGGCCGGCTCAGTCAGACAGATCCCCCTGGGCAGTGGTGCTGCTACTCGTATGTTTACATGACATTTAGCCCAAGGACAGACCACCAACCAATGGACTTGCAGACACCTTCAGGCTGGGTTTCTCTCTCTCCTTGGAGAAAAGGAACAGGGCAGTGGAATTTTTTTGTTGTTTTTGTTTTTAAGAAACAAAACAGAACTGCCTTTGCACTAAATTAGTGACTTGGACTTTTGCACAGTGAAGACAGGCTGTGACACTCTGGATGTCTTGGTGTACGTGAACACACATGGCACACACATCGCAGACTCTCACGCGGGACTTCAAACTTCTGCTGAAAACTTGGGGTCAAGGAACATTTCATTGCGCTGTGTTGTCCCCACCCCTCCCTTCCCCTTGCTCATTTGGATGTCACCTCTCTTTAATTCTGCTGCCACCATCTTTGATTCACCCAGGATGTACAGTTTACAATCAGAAAAGAGCAAACAAAAGGATTTTCTCTCTTGGTGGAATATGCAGAACTTGGGATGTGTGTATATATAAATATATAATATATATAAATATATATAATACTGACTTAAAAATCAAATTCCCCGACATACATTTTTTTTAATCTGTGCCAAAAATGTGTTTTCAGAGAAAATCTTATTTTCATACTCAGACTTTGTATTGTCACTCATTTGTATAAGTGCGCTTCGTTACAGCACGGGCCCTGCTCCCGCAACTTGGAAGTGTCACACACACACAAAGACTGTACAAAAGAAAGACTGGCTTCCCTTCTTCCTGTGACCTTGACCTCTCCCCCAATTTCCTAACAAACACTTACTAATTTATGAAAACTTTTTCTCAGCGCAGTTTTGTTTTGTGTGTCCATTGGATTACAAACTTTATTAAAAAATACAGAACATGTCAAGTGTGGATGTGATTGTCGCTTGGATGGGAGGACCAGGGGTCCCTGGCTTATGGGAACAGCTAGCCTTCGTCCCACTTTTGCTTTCAACTCCCCACCACGTCTGTATATGGAACCTATTATTTCCTTTCTGCCACTGATCCTCCCCAAGGATCATCTTATCTTGTACAAAAGAAGATTTTCACCACAGACTGAACTTGAACTGTTTTTCAGTGCTGTGGTGTTTATCTGACACTTCAAGGTCCCAATTGGCTCCTGCGTAATGTCGAAGGCACTTCAAATTTGATTGATTAAAGAATAAAGCCACCTCCCACGCAAACTCAGAAACATCTTAAGGAAGCCTTGGGGTCTTGCCTTTTGTCCCTTCCTCCTCCGGGTGTGGTGCAGGCTGGCCCTGCAGCAGCTGCCTCCCAGTAGGAGGATGGCACTGGTGGGCCAAGCTTCCCCAGCAGCTGGACCCACCACAAGCTGGGGAGTTGGGCGTGGGGGACGGGAACACAAGGACCACAGAGTTGCTGGTCTCACTTGCAGTATCCCTGGGGCTCCTCCAAACAGAGCTATGCTTTCGGTGCGAGATGGTACCAACTCTGAGTGAGGAATTACAGGTGCTGGGGACAAGCTGTATGGAAGAG